GCTACATAATCTGTCTGTAACAACAATAGTAACAGGCTACATAATCTGTCTATAACAACAATAGTAACAGGCTACATAAACATAATCTGTCTGTAACAACAATAGTAACAGGCTATAATCTGTCTGTAACAACAATAGTAACAGTCTACATAAGCTGTATATAAGTAACAATAGTAACAGGCTTCATAAACATAATCTGTCTGTAACAACAATAGTAACGGTCAACATAATCTGTCTGTAACAACAATAGTAACAGGCTACATAGACTGTCTGTAACAACAATAGTAACAGGCTCCATAAGCTGTCTGTAACAACAATAGTAACGGGCTACATAATCTGTCTGTAACAACAACAATAACAGGCTATAATCTGTCTGTAACAATAATAGTAACAGTCTACATAAGCTGTATATAAGTAACAATAGTAACAGGCTACATAATCTGTCTGTACAACAATAGTAACAGGCTACATAAGTTGTCTGTAACAACAATAGTAACAGTCTACATGAGCTGTATATAAGTAACAATAGTAACAGGCTACATAAACATAATCTGTGTGTAACAACAATAGTAACAGGCTACATAAGCTGTCTGTAACAACAATAGTAACAATCCACATAAGCTGTATATAAGTAACAATAGGAACAAATAATTCATAATTTGGATTCCTTCGAAAAAAGGAATGAGTGCTTATAGAAGGGAGCTAATTAGGGTGAATGCGTTATATGGAATTAGCCCCAATTTTCTGGACCTTTTTAAACATTTTCCCCCTTTAAAACAAGTCAAAGAAAAAACTCAGTTAACTTATATAGTTTTACCATTTCACATTAGAAAAGGAATCACCTACCTCGGTCTGGTTGACTAGAGCAAGCAGCCATTTCCTGGTCCCTCTCAATTCTCTCCATAGCAGATAGGTCTTCACAGAACAGATGACATGTCGAGAAATACCTACACATCATGGTATACAATGTTACATAATTATTTTGTCAACCTTGTCATCCCACGAAACATTTATAACAAGAGTTACAGAGGGCCTGTATTGCTCAACTGGATAACTTAAGCTGACAGTGCAAGTAAAGCTGACAGTGCAAGTAAAATAGCTTTTAATTGAGATTAAAAACAAAAGGGTTATTTTTTTCTGGTTTTGAGAAAAAAAATGATATTCTACACAAGAGGGCCTGTACTGCTCACCAGCTGGATCTCTATACCCTGCAATGGTATATATGGTTATGAGTTGGGGATCTCAACTGTTTTAAATTTTGGTTCAGAAATTAAGCCCCTAATCGCTTTAGAGTAATTTTACAAATTATATAGGGCGCTATATAAATGTTTTGTATATTATATGGTGGGGCCATACCTGAGAGTCAATACTATATCCTGATTGTGTTTGTCTCATAATGCCCAGCAATGGTATATATGGTTATGGGTGGGAAATCCCAACTATTTTAAAGTGAATGCTCAGGAATTAAGTCTCTATTCTAATATCATTGTGTCCAGCATTTGTATATATATGGGGTGGAAATCTGACCAGGAACCAATTTAGTCTCCAAGGATGGGGCCAGACCCAGAAGCCATCCTGAAAGCAAACTGTATGAGCATTCGTCTATATAGGGTGGAGATCTTGATAATGTCCAATTCAAAATATTCTTTTTGGACTCACCTTTCAGACCTGGGGGATCAGCCCTCCAACTAGTACAATTTTGAATTCCCACCACATGAGAATGCTTAAATTGAAATCTGTTTGATATTCAATCACTCAATTCCAGAGAAGAAGTCTTTTAAAGCAATATGGCCAAATTATCCCTTTGTGCCCACCCAACAGAATACCCCCCCAATGTTACATGTACTTACATCCAGGCCAGGTCTTCTGTCAGGTGCAGTTTGTTGCAGGCAATGTGACGCCACACCGAATAACTGAAACATAATCATGACTTAATGACATGGTATCTTTTTCTATATTTTTATTGAAATCCTGATTAAAATAAATCAAAATTGCCCATGACATTTATCCTGAATTGGCAGGCTTCTTAAGTTGGTCATATACATGTATGTGGAATGAAAAAAAAAAAGAAGCTAGGCCCATCTTGCTTCTGTTACAAAAGCAAAATCATTTTATTTTTTTTTACTTTATGACTGTATACATAATATAACCAAAGTAATAGCATGCATAAACAATGGTACAATGTAACTTCTATGTATCCTTTTTACTTCACACTATATGATCTATACTGTGACTATAATAGGGTTTTATCTGACATGGTTATAACATGGTAAACATTATCAAATTGATACTTTTAACATTTATGGTAAGTTTTATTACACTGTAACATAATTATTTTTGAAAACTGTATCAGATAAGCCGGCCAAACAAAGGAATTTTTAAATACTAATAGGGTCACAATTGCTGAAATAAAGGCAAACTATCATGTGTTCATGTTTTCTGTTTTCTGTTTCAAAATCACCGTAATTACTGTACAACTAATATTGTACATAAGCTTACAGCGTAGCTGGTCATTGTCTGATGACAGAGTAAATGTTGTACTAGAGACGTCACATAGAAACACCTATTGGTTGTGTTACAAGAGTATTTTCATAATCCATATAAAGTTACCAACCTGAATAAAATGTTAAAGAAATACTTACTTTATCCTTGGAAAGCCCAAGTGTCCCTTATTTTTGGCATATATAACAATTTTCTTGATATTCTGCAAATAAAAGACCAGTACCAATTTTTACCTCGTATTTTAGGAATGACATATTTCATACTTCAAGGATAACAAGTAAAATTCTAAACAACAATATTCTCAAATTGAATTCTCTGATCTCACTTTATCAATAGATATTTTTAACAAATAAGGAGGGAGAAAATGGCCTCTTTCCCACTATTTGGCTATAAAGGAAACCTAGATTGATACAATCGTGTTATAATATGCAATGTGCTATTCACAGAAACACTGTTTTCCTGTTAAAACTAAGTACTTTAGTATGAAGTCGTCATATGAACTTATTTGTAACTTTTTAATGAAAATCAAAATGTAATCATTTATATATAATTACACCTCCAACATGTCACGATGACTAGGTAGCCAATGATATACAACACATTGGCTAGCCGTCCTACATATATCTCTGGACTTTCACTGAGCTATCTTCCAGCAAGTCAGAAGTTATGGCCCAGACAAACACTCCAAACTGACATAGGACAAAGTGCTGATAATTGCTCCCTGAGAATATCTCCATTGGCAGCATATTTGCTGATGGACGTTAGCTTTTACCCTGCTAAAACCAAGCAAGCTAATTCCTGCATTAGGTTGACGTTTAAGCCGGGCGAGATAACACCTCTATACCTATAAACAGATTAACATAGAGAGTTACAACCAACCATGTAATATTAATTTTGCTGTGATGTGATTATGGAAACTTGTTTTAAACATTAGATTGTAGTGACATGGCATGGTATACTTACACTAAATGTGAGTCTAGGGTGAGGTGCTATGGGAAATGCTCCATAGCTGAAAGGCTCGGCCTTCACCCACAAGCAGACTGCATGTTCTGTCATGGTTGAATGGTGACGCAGACACAAGTCAATCAACACATGTCATGATGTCATCTGAAGGAAGTGAAAACAAATCCTGTCAATTATCAACAATATTACAATGTTTTCATTTACTATCTTGATCTCATTGTATGAACTTGCCAAGGTAAAAAACATCCCACTTTTATATCAGTTTCAGGGCAAGTATGAAATTTTCAAACCTACGAATCCTTCAGGAAATTGCAAGTGCTACAGAAAATTACTTGCCAGATACTAATCTCAAAAGAATCATACACCAAATATAATGGTGATGATGTTTGGCCAGTAGCATGCTACTGCCCAAATATCATCACCATATGTGTCTTAGTTATTCAGAAGAAGTCTTTCAAAAGTTTTATCACAATTGACCCATGTGACCTTAAATGTAGGTCAAGGTCATTCGTTTGAGAACACTTTATAGCATAACATACCAGGTACCTACTGGCCAAATATCATTTATCACCATGCCGGCCCTTCGGGTTTATGTATTTTAAACACATTCAACCCTTGTGATCTTGAAAGTATGTCAAGGTCATGGATATGAGGAAATTGTATAGCACTCCATGGCAGGCACCTAATGACGAAGTATCATCACTCCTTAAGCCTTCTGTTTATTCAATTGTTTAAAGGTTTTTACATATTTGACATGAAAGTAGGTCATTTATTTGAGGATACTTTATAGCATTTTGTCCAAGGTACCTACTAGTTAAATATCATGACCCTAGGTTCTTAGGTAGAAGCTAAAGTCATTCAAAGAAAAAGTTGACGGACAACAGACAACATACCATATACCATAAGCTCACATGTGCAGGCACTTCATGCGACTGGTGAGCTAAAAATAACTAGTTGTGATGCACCAACAAAAAGATGACACAACAGATGTCGCCTCCAAGGTTTCTCCGGTTAATTATTGTCTTTCCAGAAATAACTGAGGAAGGTTGATTGAAATATGTGGGTTTTGACTTGTTCTCTACATCAAACCCATCATGATATCTGTACTGTAGAGTCCTATATATGACTCACCACATATAAAACAACACGCATATAAAGCACTAGTCAGGACAAAACTTGAATACTGCTCTTCCATTTGGGATCCACACAACACAAACCAAATTAAACAAATAGAAAAAACACAACGAAGAGCAGCACGCTAGATAAACAACAGATACCACAACACTAGCTCCGTAACAGATATGATCCACACACTACAATTGCCAACACTACAAACACGGCGCTGTCACACAAGGATGATCCTTTTTCACAAAATTGTGCACCATATCGTAGCCATAAACCCAACATATATACTTACACCCGTAGACCCCCGAACCAGACATGCACACCCTCACGCATACAAACACATATCTGCAACACTAGAGGACTTCAAGGCACACTTACCCTATACAGCTCTTGAAGCCCTCATCACACGCTAAAATATACGCCAACTTTTATCTTTTATCTATATACCTTGCACAAAAAAACAAAAAAAACTAATCACTGTAAATTACCCCCTTTTTCATGCCTCTGAGTTAGGACCCCCGAGGGCATAAAGATCACCATTGAAGGAGCCCATGTACCATAAGAAGAAGAAGAGTATAAGGTGATCACAGTTCCCAAAATGGATCACCAAAATCATTTTCTTCATTCATTGAAAATTCAGCAGATGAATTATATCAGTTTATGCTTGTATCATAAACGAAGAACATCGAAGGGTGTTTTCACCAACGAAAAAAAAACCACCTATATGAGTTGAGGACTCACGCGAGATATTTCATGCAATTATAGCATTTCTGGTGTTTGCAAATGTCAGTATACCCAAAACTGATTACAGCTTAAATTTTTCAATATTTTGCACTTCAAATTAACATTTCTTTCTCAAAATTTAACAGTTAAAAATGATCTTTGAAATTTATATGAATACAATTATTTTTGTAATCTGAATTTACTCCTATATATTGGGAAACAAAATACATAATCTTCACACGCACAGATTACAGGTACTAGCCTCGTTTGTTAATACACCCATAATATGATTATATTATTTGTGTATTGACAGACGCGGCTAGTACCAGCTGTGATCCGATTACGGTCCTGCCTCCTCTCCCCATAGATTGATAGATCTATACAAGTAACATGTAGAAGGACTCAGAAACTGGTCATTCAATCATGAATAGTTTCTGTAATATTTTCTATATATGTTATTATATGAGTAATATTTTTTCTTTCTTACTATGATTTGTTATCTACATTACAGTATTAATTTAACAAACCTTATGTATGCAGCATCCACAATCTTACATCGCGACCGTCAATTCATTACGGAGGGAAGAGAATTAACGATGGAGGAGAGAGGGGGTAACTTACTACATATTATGGTCGGTATCATAAGGTCAGATTTCCCACTAGGCCTATCTGATCCTTACACGATCCTACCAACCTGTCTCTCAATGTACGAGTAAAACACATCAGTTGTGCAGAATAATACTCAAACACTAGATATATTTTGTATTTACCTTCCCACGTGAATCAATAATCAGCAGACAGTTTCTCATCGAACACACAAGTAACAGCATGTATGTAAACAAAATTGTTCTTTGAATGGTCGACCTCCGAGAGAATCGAATGGTTTCAATTTTGACCAATCAAACTTCGAGACAAAACAATCGTGGCACATTTGTAATTTATTTCCTGCAGTATATAAAATGATTTTTGATTGGGCCACCTCATCAGTGAAACAATGATGGAGACGAAAAGCATGTTTCTTACCGGTCTAGCGGTTGTATTTATGCTTTTTCAAATAATTCACGCTGATGGCGTTAAAGGATCAATTCAACTAAATTCAGGCGTTTTCGAGAAAGTAAGTAAACTATTTTCCAACAAATTTTAAGCTGACAATTCTTTTTATTTTGTTTAAATGCATGACAAAGACGGAAGGACCTATCCAGCTGTTAACGTTTTAGTTCAGTGGTCTAGATATGCTAGTTAGGTTTTACCGTGGTTTTACTTAATTAATGCACAATAACCAAAGTAAAAATTGTCATTTTCAGTTTTCTATGTCTCTCTACTTAAATATGTATGGTGTATTTTATCTATTCCTCGACCTATTACAAATTGGTGCCGTTTACCCTCCTCGTTCAAGGTAGGAGAACCCTTGGCGGGGAGTCAAATAACCTGGGTTGGTGTTTGAGAAAGGGGGGAATAGTGTAAAAGATGCCGATTTATTAGGTTGCCTTACAAGCGTCAGCGATGGCACTATCTTTATCACTATTCCTCGTCCTATTACAATTAATCAATATGTCAAGTTAAAACTCATTCATAATTACAATTACAATTTTTGAGGAATTCGCAGGAGCTGCCTTATCAGGCGCTAGCTACTAGTCCTATATGCAACCTGGCTAATATCTCCCTATATGTGTGTGTGCTGGAGATGTAATGTGTTCTGTTTGTAGTAGGACCATGCTTCTGAACGGCATCATTTATAGTGCCACCTACAGCACAATTTATACTCCACCTGGGTTGTGGGAGTTGTGTGTGTGTGTGTGGGGGGGGGGGGGGAAATCACATTCTCTGAATATCCATGTGTATGACGACTTCAGGGATCGAACCTTGGCCGCCTGCGTGGAAGGTCGAAGTGTTAACCACTCAAACAATCCACCCATGTTATTGTTATTTCTAAGGAAGTGCAGAAGGGATCTTTCTTGAAATTGATATGTAGATTTCCCATGGTCCTTTGTTATGCATGTTTGCTTTTGAGACTGTTCGTATAAACAAATGGCTGACTGGCAGCTGTCTTGGATTTTGAAAGTTAAGATTTGTTATCATTATTTCTCAGAATTTCTCAAATTTGCTATGTAGGTTTGCTTTTGTGACTGATGGAATAAACAAAATGAATGAAGGGTGGCCATGCATCTTTGATTTTGACAGTTACAGTTTGTTATTGCTAATTCTCAGAAAGTACTTGAGGGATCTTTCTCAAATTTGATATGTAAGTTCCCATTGGTCCTTAGTTGTGGATGTTTTATTTTTAGAATGATTATAAATACAAGATGACCGCAGATCAAGTTACTTCAAGGTGTATATATATTTACATTATACATGACTTGATTAGAAAAGATCAAACTGACATAGAAATAATGAAGATGGTACAATGGTGGATGGGTGCCAAATTGCAAGATCCCTCTTGGATCTCCTGTTTTCTGTGGTCTGAGGTTTGTTTCATTCCTTTCATTTCCTACCAAAAAAAGTAAAGTTTAGATTTACTTTGCAGATCCTTAGGAAACACAAAGCAGTGTTGGTCAAGTTTGATGAGACGTACCCATATGGTGAGAAGCAGGACGCATTCAAGGAGGTCGCTGCCGCAACACTGTCGCAGGACGACATTCTAGTATCTGAAGTCCAGGTCCAAGGTAGCTAGATATATCAGTCCTATAACAGTTCCCTGTCATACTCATTCAGAACAAACTCAAAACTCAGTCTCTGAGCTTATTGTTTATTGTTTTGGTATTGTACATTAAGACCAAGTAAATAATAGGTATAATTATGTGATGTTTGGTTTTATATATATTATGTTTTAAGACTAAGTACAATAATAGGTATAGATAAATAATGTTTGGTTTTATATATTATGTTTTAAGACTAAGTACAATACAGAAATAGATATATATGATGTTTGGTTTTATAGATTTTGTCTTAAGACCAAGTACAATATAGGTAAAGATATGTGATGTTTGGTTTCACAGATTATGGTGAAAAGGAGAATGCAGATTTGGCAAAAAGGTTCGGTGTGACAAAAGAGGACTTCCCTGTCTATTTACTCTTCTTATCTGGAGATGCAGAAAATCCAAAGAAATTCTTAGGCAATGCCAAAAGTGCTGATGATGTCAAGAAATTCCTTATGAAGGAATCAGGTAGGTTCTGTAGTAATAGAGGTGTAAGTCTGTAGTAATAGAGGTGTAAGTCTGTAGTAATAGCGGTGTAAGTCTGTAGTAATAGAGGTGTAAGTGATCAGTGAAAGGAGAGAAATGAGATCAGTAAGTCAATAATGATGACGTAATAAGTTTGCTCAAAAACTTTGACAGAAGCACTTACCTCAAGCTGAATTTGATGTACATATTTATAGCATCAGAACTGTGGGATTACGGTAAACCTCCGGTCAGTTCGAATAGGCGGATAGTTCGAACAAACCTTTTTATACGCCCGTCGAAGACGGGGATGTATTATGTTATCAAGTGAGCGGGCGGGGGGGCGGGCAAACGATGTCCGCTCGATATCTCGAGTAATTATTAACGGATTAACTTCCAACTTCACAACAAGGTTAATTACCATGAAACCTCGGACAAGTTCGATAACCGCCATTATCCGACCATAATTTGTGGAGTTATGCCCCTTTATGGATTTGCCGAAACAGTGTCCGCTCGATGTCTCGAGTAATTATTAACGGATTAACTTCAAACTTCACAACAAGGTTAATTACCATGAAACCTCAGACAAGTTCGATAACCGCCATTATCCGACCATAATTTGTGGAGTTATGCCCCTTTATGGATTTGCCGAAACAGTGTCCGCTCGATGTCTCGAGTAATTATTAACGGATTAACTTCCAACTTCACAACAAGGTTAATTACCATGAAACCTCAGACAAGTTCGATAACCGCCATTATCCGACCATAATTTGTTGAGTTATGCCACTTTATGGATTTGCCGAAACAGTGTCCGCTCGATGTCTCGAGTAATTATTAATGGATTAACTTCAAACTTCACAACAAGGTTAATTACCATAAAAAGCTCGGACAAGTTCGATAACCGCCATTCTCCGACCATAATTTGCAGAGTTATGCCCTTTTATGGACTTGCCGAAACAGTGTCCGATCGATATCTCGAGTAATTATTAACGGATTAACTTCCAACTTCACAACAAGGTTAATTACCATGAAACCACGGACAAGTTCGATAACCGCCATTATCCGACCATAATTTGTGGAGTTATGCCCCTTTATGGACTTGCCGAACCAGTGTCCGCTCGATATCTCGAGTAATTATTAACGGATTAACTTCAAACTTCACAACAAGGTTAATTACCATGAAACCACGGACAAGTTTGATAACCGCCATTATCCGACCATAATTTATGGAGTTATGCCCCTTTATGGACTTGCCGAAACAGTGTCCGGTCGATATCTCGAGTAATTATTAACGGATTAAGTTCAAACTTCACAACAAGGTTAATTACCATAAAAGCTAGGACAAGTTCGATAACCGCCATTATCCGACCATAATTTCTGGAGTTATGCCCCTTTACTTGCCAAAACAGTGACCGCTCGATATCTCGAGTAATTATTAACGGATTAACTTCCAACTTCACAACAAGGTTAATTACCATGAAAGCTCGGACAAGTTCGATAACCGCCATTCTCCGACCATAATTTGCAGAGTTATGCCCTTTTATGGACTTGCCGAAACAGTGTCCGCTCGATTTCTCGAGTAATTATTGACGGATTAACTTCAAACTTCAAAACAAGGTTAATTACCATGAAAGCTTGGACAAGTTTGATAACCGCCATTATCCGACCGTAATTACTGGAGTTAATCCCCTTGGTTTCATTAATGCGATGCATGCGTTCCATGATGTTGTATTGCACTCATTGATCTACCAGTTTTGTTGAATGATTTCTCTGTTAATATCAATTACTCACAAATACTTCATATATTTCAATCATACAAACAACTTCTCATTCAATGTGTGACGGGCGTATTATATACCGCTCGCGGTAACCTTGTTAACAATAAAAACAATAATTGTTTGTCTAGTTAACATTTCAGATAGTTCGAACACATCGTACGAAGTTTGGGTAAGGGTGAATTTAATTTGAAGTGCGAGTTTGACTATCGGCATTCAAAATACCGGTCTCGCAAAATCGCTCGTCTTGGTCAGCAATACACGTCGACAGCAACGTTGTTGTAACAGATTGTATTTAAAATCTGTATGTTTGACCATCTTAGTCAAATGTTAAAGAACACGTGTACATATATTCCACATGTTTTCAGCGATGTTTTGCTTCTCCTGTTAACCTGCTATTCAACGTGAGGCCCCAAACTATGTATATCATCCGATCAATACGGAGCACGGAACGTTGAAGTATCTTAATACTGTACGATAAAAAATGATAAATTGTTTTGTTTTCCCCCCTATCATATAAAGGATATAATGTATTACTTTGACATATATATATATTTGAAATAAATAACACCAACAAGATTCCCAGTATTTAAAAAATAATCCGTTATATATATACCGGGATTTTTTTTTAATAATGTGGATCTTTGTGTTATTTATTTAAAATACATGATGATGTTGACGGTGTTCTATGGGAAATGGGGTTCATACAAAAATTGAAAGAGTGCGTTTGCGAAATTGGGATGCGCTATATTCGATGTGTATTTAGGATCTTTTTGTGTATTTGGTGGCCCTAAAAAGGGCCGTTGATTTATATGATGATGTCTTCATTCGCCGTCACAATCTGCAAATGGATCGATGGCACTCTCTGCTACATCTGTCTCCTCAAACCCATCAAACTCCATGTCATCTTCACTTTCATCTAGGATGGCATCCACTTCACTGCTGTTGTGGATAAACTGGTCCTCATGTCAATGCATTAGAGATGCCAGTGACCTTGAATGATCTTCTGATCATCTCTGGATTCTTTTCCATCTTTGTGACGGCTTCAGCAACCCAATTAACCACATCTTGTTATGTGGCGGCTTTTAAGGTGGCTGTTGTCATGTTGTCTCCCTGTTGCTTCATCTGATTGGTTATGCTGGTTGACCACAGCTCACGGAGATGGTCCTTTAGCGGTTTGTTCAGAGAAACATCTAAAGGTTGTGCTTTGCACGTGCATCCTCCAGGTATGTACGCAGGGTTGATGTTAGCTTTCTTCAGTTGTTTCTTAACAGCTTCTGTGGAATGGGCTGCAAACGAATCCATGACAAGTAGAGCTGGGCGTCTGTCTGTATATTTGCGGACCACCTCCCGGATCCACCGCACCATTTCCAGCTCCCTCATCCAGGCCTTTTCGTTGACACAAACTAACCATCCGTTAGGTGTGGTTAGCTTGAGTTCCCGTTTGCCTTTGAATATCACCATGCTTGGTAGATATCTTCCACTTGAGGTAACGGCCAACACTAGGGTGCAGTGTCATTTTTCATGTTGACCGTTTTCCCAGGCACTAGTTCAAAATACATTGGGACTTCGTCCATGTTGATGATATACTCATCATCAAACTCTTCGTCCAGTCGAATTTCCCTCAAATGTTTGTAAAACGCAGTCAGGCGGACAGCAATATCTCCGGGTAGTTTTTGCGAAATCGATGTTTTACACCTCAACGATAAGTTGTTACGTTTAAAAAATCGAGCTAGCCATCCATCTGAGGCCTTGAAAATGGTCTGTTTGTTCGTAGACTAAACCAGGTTCTGCCCATACATCTGTATACTGCGTCGGCTGACCGGAAGCTGGAGTTCTCTCTGACTATGTATCCAATGGACAATCTTCAGCTCCACGTCCTCGGAATACATTAATTTACCGCCACCTCCAACTTCCCGTCCTTTTGGTGTTTTAGGAGAATTTGGACAAAAAGTCTTTTTCCATTTTTAAAGAGTGGACTTTGGTATACCATATTTTGTTGCTATGGCACATGTCCCGTACACCTCCGCCAAATCCAGAACTTCTTTTTTCTCGGCAACAGTATAAAATTTATATTTGCCCCGAATTTTTCTAAGACTTGGCTCATCGCTCAGGTACTGGTCATCACATTCATCACCACTCTGTGTATTGGTAGTCGGTGTGGTAGGAGGGGTTCATGTGTACGACTTAGTCGGTGTGGTAGGAGGGGTTCATGTGTACGACTTAGTCGGTGTGGTAGGAGGGGTTCATGTGTACGACTTAGTCGGTGTGGTAGGAGGGGTTCATGTGTACGACTTAGTCGGTGTGGTAGGAGGGGTTCATGTGTACGACTTAGTCGGTGTGGTAGGAGGGGTTCATGTGTACGACTTAGTCGGTGTGGTAGGAGGGGTTCATGTGTACGACTTAGTCGGTGTGGTAGGAGGGGTTCATGTGTACGACTTAGTCGGTGTGGTAGGAGGGGTTCATGTGTACGACTTAGTCGGTGTGGTAGGAGGGGTTCATGTGTACGACTTAGTCGGTGTGGTAGGAGGGGTTCATGTGTACGACTTAGTCGGTGTGGTAGGAGGGGTTCATGTGTACGACTTAGTCGGTGTGGTAGGAGGGGTTCATGTGTACGACTTAGTCGGTGTGGTAGGAGGGGTTCATGTGTACGACTTAGTCGGTGTGGTAGGAGGGGTTCATGTGTACGACTTAGTCGGTGTGGTAGGAGGGGTTCATGTGTACGACTTAGTCGGTGTGGTAGGAGGGGTTCATGTGTACGACTTAGTCGGTGTGGTAGGAGGGGTTCATGTGTACGACTTAGTCGGTGTGGTAGGAGGGGTTCATGTGTACGACTTAGTCGGTGTGGTAGGAGGGGTTCATGTGTACGACTTAGTCGGTGTGGTAGGAGGGGTTCATGTGTACGACTTAGTCGGTGTGGTAGGAGGGGTTCATGTGTACGACTTAGTCGGTGTGGTAGGAGGGGTTCATGTGTACGACTTAGTCGGTGTGGTAGGAGGGGTTCATGTGTACGACTTAGTCGGTGTGGTAGGAGGGGTTCATGTGTACGACTTAGTCGGTGTGGTAGGAGGGGTTCATGTGTACGACTTAGTCGGTGTGGTAGGAGGGGTTCATGTGTACGACTTAGTCGGTGTGGTAGGAGGGGTTCATGTGTACGACTTAGTCGGTGTGGTAGGAGGGGTTCATGTGTACGACTTAGTCGGTGTGGTAGGAGGGGTTCATGTGTACGACTTAGTCGGTGTGGTAGGAGGGGTTCATGTGTACGACTTAGTCGGTGTGGTAGGAGGGGTTCATGTGTACGACTTAGTCGGTGTGGTAGGAGGGGTTCATGTGTACGACTTAGTCGGTGTGGTAGGAGGGGTTCATGTGTACGACTTAGTCGGTGTGGTAGGAGGGGTTCATGTGTACGACTTAGTCGGTGTGGTAGGAGGGGTTCATGTGTACGACTTAGTCGGTGTGGTAGGAGGGGTTCATGTGTACGACTTAGTCGGTGTGGTAGGAGGGGTTCATGTGTACGACTTAGTCGGTGTGGTAGGAGGGGTTCATGTGTACGACTTAGTCGGTGTGGTAGGAGGGGTTCATGTGTACGACTTAGTCGGTGTGGTAGGAGGGGTTCATGTGTACGACTTAGTCGGTGTGGTAGGAGGGGTTCATGTGTACGACTTAGTCGGTGTGGTAGGAGGGGTTCATGTGTACGACTTAGTCGGTGTGGTAGGAGGGGTTCATGTGTACGACTTAGTCGGTGTGGTAGGAGGGGTTCATGTGTACGACTTAGTCGGTGTGGTAGGAGGGGTTCATGTGTACGACTTAGTCGGTGTGGTAGGAGGGGTTCATGTGTACGACTTAGTCGGTGTGGTAGGAGGGGTTCATGTGTACGACTTAGTCGGTGTGGTAGGAGGGGTTCATGTGTACGACTTAGTCGGTGTGGTAGGAGGGGTTCATGTGTACGACTTAGTCGGTGTGGTAGGAGGGGTTCATGTGTACGACTTAGTCGGTGTGGTAGGAGGGGTTCATGTGTACGACTTAGTCGGTGTGGTAGGAGGGGTTCATGTGTACGACTTAGTCGGTGTGGTAGGAGGGGTTCATGTGTACGACTTAGTCGGTGTGGTAGGAGGGGTTCATGTGTACGACTTAGTCGGTGTGGTAGGAGGGGTTCATGTGTACGACTTAGTCGGTGTGGTAGGAGGGTTCATGTGTACGACTTAGTCGGTGTGGTAGGAGGAGTTCGTGTGTACGACTTAGTCGGTGTAACATCAAGCCTTGGCCTCTCAACAGGTCGTTTTGCTGGCCTTCCTAATGGTGAGGGTGGATTTCTCCATTCCTTTGGAATGGTGTCTTTTCGACTCTCTGCCTTCTTGAAGTAATCCTGGATTCGTTTCATACTGATTCTTTCGAGATTATTTCGAAAACTGGTGACGATAGTGTGGTTCCTCCTACCTTTATACCAACTAGCCCGTTAGTTACTGTGAACGATGTACGTGCTTAGCCACGTGTACGTACATGACTGTTGTCGGGATTGACATGTGTATTAAAACGTTAATTAATATATTAATTCATTGTTTATTCCAGAAGATATACATGCAATTATGTCAGCACAAATAACAATTAAATTGCAAACTGGTCTATGTATTGTCTTGCCTCAGTCCGATATTCAATAATTTTTTAACTGACAACTGTAAAATCAAACATGTTTAACTAACTTGGTCCAAAACAACTAAGGTGAGCCTGTGTCATACTGTGTCTCGGTCTGTCTGGGTTCTGTTGTAAATCTGCTTGATTTGTTAAATTCCTATTAACAGCTTTTTTGTTTCTTCTGACATCTATGTAGGCATGTTTTTAGTTCTGATTTATAATTAGATAATTGGACCCTTTACCGTTTGGTACGAGGATACCCTTTACCTTTTGATACAAGGATACCCTTTACCGTTTGGTACGAGGATACCCTTTACTGTTTGGTACGAGGATACCCTTTACCTTTTGGTACGACGATACCCTTTACCTTTTGGTACGAGGATACCCTTTACTGTTTGGTACGAGGATCCCCTTTACTGTTTGGTACGAGGATACCCTTTACCGTTTGGTAAGAGGATACCCTTTACTGTTTGGTATGAGGATACCCTTTACTGTTTGGTATGAGGATACCCTTTACTGTTTGGTATGAGGATACCCTTTACCTTTTGGTACGAGGATACCCTTTACCTTTTGGTACGAGGATGCCCTTTACCTTTTGGTATGAGGATACCCTTTACCTTTTGGTACGAGGATATCCTTTACCTTTTGGTACGAGGATACCCTTTACCTTTTGATACAATGATACCCTTTACCTTTTGATACAAGGATACCCTATACCGTTTGGTACGAGGATACCCTTTACCGTTTGGTAAGAGGATACCCTTTACTGTTTGGTATGAGGATACCCTTTACCTTTTGGTACGAGGATAACCTTTACCTTTTCATACAAGGATACCCTTTACCTTTTGGTACGAGGATACCCTTTACCTTTTGATACAATGATACCCTTTACCTTTTGATACAAGGATACCCTTTACCGTTTGGTACGAGGATACCCTTTACCGTTTGGTACGAGGATACCCTTTATCTTTTAGTACGAGGATACCCTTTACCGTTTGGTACGAGGATACCCTTTACCGTTTGGTAAGAGGATACCCTTTACTGTTTGGTATGAGGATACCCTTTACTGTTTGGTATGAGGATACCCTTTACCTTTTGATACGAGGATACCCTTTACTGTTTGGTACGAGGATACCCTTTACCGTTTGGTACGAGGATACCCTTTACTGTTTGGTACGAGGATACCCTTTACCGTTTGGTACGAGGATACCCTTTACCGTTTGGTAAGAGGATACCCTTTACTGTTTGGTATGAGGATACCCTTTACTGTTTTGTATGAGGATACCTTTTACTGTTTGGTATGAGGATACTCTTTACCGTTTGGTACGAGGATACCCTTTACTGTTTGGAACGAGGATACCCTTTACCGTTTGGTATGAGGATACCCTTTAGCGTTTGATACGAGGATACCCTTTACCGTTTGGTACGAGGATACCCTTTACTGTTTGGTACGAGGATACCCTTTACTGTTTGGATACGAGGATACACTTTACCGTTTGGTACGAGAATACCCTTTACCGTTTGGTACGAGGATACCCTTTACCATTTGATATGAGGATACCCTTTACCGTTTGGTACGAGGATACCCTTTACCATTTGATACGAGGATACCCTTTATCTTTTGATGTACAAAATGTATTCTTACATTGACTGTGAATCTCATGCTGACTTCATTTTTGTTTCAGGTCTTTGGCTTGGACTTCCATCTTGCTTAGAAGATTATGATAAAAAAGTGAAGGACTTTTTACAAGCCAGTGCTGATAAACGTCCAGGCATTTTAGCCACAGCAGAAGGAGATGCTTCTAAAGAAACAGACGAATCAACAAAGAGATCTGCTGAAATTTATGTGAAAACAATGAAAAAGATTTTAGAAAAAGGAGACACTTTTGTTAATTCAGAAATTACAAGAGTAGAAAAATTGAAAGACGGGAAAGTGAGTGATAAAAAGAAAGAACAATTAAACGAAAGACTTAATATTTTAACTTCTTTCCAGTTAAGTCAGCGGGAGGAACTGTAATTGTATCATCTGTCACACGTCTGGGGCTTCCATGTCTTATTTTTACACCTTTTTGCACACAAAAAGTAACATTTTGATTTTGAGTCTACTTGTACCTACAGGTATGGCCGTTATACATATCAGTTTTGTAATAAGCAATCAACAAAGCAAATATACTTGTTTGTCACGAACGTTTTCAAGCATTACGGCCATTTTCAGGCGATTTATGTCAATGTCCTGGTTACAATATTATGATGTATACAATATATTACATTGCCATACATTTCATGAACTCTCTTGTTTTGTAGACATGATACTTTCTACACAAAACATAGTAACTTCAGTATAACAGTTCGGCCACCTGACGACCCGTTTTTTTTTATCTTGAATCTTGTCTACACAGCTATTTAGTAGAATTACATAGGAGGGTGCAAGTGGCACTTGTTGTGCGAAAACAGTGTAATCAAATAAAGATTCAGAATTTGTGACACTTGAAAGGATACAGAAAAAGGTTTTCTGGCTTCTTTTGCTGAAAATTCTATTGGTGATCAGGCAAAACATAATTAACCGACCTATAGGTGTCATTGATGTAGTGCCACCATATTGAAAAGTCTTCAAATCATTCAAGATAAACAAGACCATCTTACATATCTGTATACACTCAAATGTGCAGGTAAGACAGAAAAATCTCAAACAAAGGGGTAAGAATGTCCTGTATTATAACTGTAAAACATTTATCGTATAGAGACCCCCGGCCATCTTAGGTCTAATAGTCTCTAGTCAAGGTGAGAAGGAAGAGGGGAGGCATCTAGTGGAAGTTAATATAAAAGGAAGGTGCCGACTACAGGTAGGTGTGAGATATCTCCACGACATACCCTCAAACCTACCTTATGGTATTAATGGATATGTTTTGGAATTAAATCAAAGAGTGGTCATTATTTTACAAGTGTTTGAATATACTGATATGCATTTTCATTTTGGTGTTGAAAGCTTGATGCATTAGACATTTAGAAAACAATAAACTGTTTGTTGATATGAAGTACTGGTTTTGTAGAAATATTTGTGGTTTCCTTGTGTTTATTGTAACATTCCAAAAAAATGTTGTGGACTAATATCTGAATGATGTGGCAGTCAAAAAGATACCACCATTGATTGGGTAAAATTATACCACCATTGATTGGGTAAAATTATACCACCACCACCATTGATTGGGTAAGATTATACAACCATTGATTGGGTAAAATTATACCACCATTGATTGGGTAAAATTTTACCACCACCACCATTGATTGGGTAAAATTATACGACCATTGATTGGGTAAAATTATACCGCCCTTGATTGGGTAAAATTATACCACCATAGATTGGGTAAAATTATACCACCATTGATTGGGTAAAATTATGCCACCATTGATTGGGTTTAGTTTTAATATGCTGTCTTTTTTGTATTTTCATAATGTGTTGTCTTTAAACACATCTCTTTAGATGTAGCGATAAAAGAGGGAATAATAAATGTCATTGTTTATATAAGGAAAGGCATATTGTTTGTACACAAAATATTGACGTCAATTTATAATCTTTATAAATAGAGTATTGTTTATAAATAGAACTATGAAATTTGGTTTGTGAACAGAATAGTGACATATTGTTATCTTGTACCTGGCACCTCAAAAATTATCAATATCAACAAATATTCAATTATTGAATGCAAACCAGAGGAATGTAGAGAAACTGGACATGTGAAGAATTTATAGTGTCAGCAAGGAAAATTTTGTAAACTGTCGGGAATTTACCCTCGTAGAGTACAGTCATCTTCTAACAACACAAGTTATCTCCCTATATAAAAGATCATATTCTCCAACTTCGTTACATTCTGATAAGTCCATGATAAAATCTATATGAACTGATATCTGTTAAAAAGGGAAGCAACTCCTATTTTCCTTCGTAGAAATAGACCGGTGCCTGGGCAGAGTCTGCTTGTACCTACAGGTGTATGGCCATTGTACAAATCAATTTTGTAATAAACAATCCGTTCACTTGTTAATTTGATTTAATTTAATGGCCACTGCCATAATTTACAAAAGATTGTATACAGCTGTCCATGGTTTAACTGTGTAGCTGTCCATGGTTTAACTGTGTATCTGTCCATGGTTTAACTGTATACAGCTGTCCATGGTTTAACTGTGTAGCTGTCCATGGTTTAACTGTGTAGAAGACTGTATACAGCTGTCCATGGTTTAACTGTGTAGCTGTCCATGGTTTAACTTTGTGGCTGTCCATGGTTTAACTGTGTAGAAGACTGTATACAGCTGTCCATGGTTAAGCTGTAGCTGTCCATGGTTTAAATGTGTAGCTGTCCATGGTTTAACTGTTCAGCTGTCCATGGTTTAACTGTGTAGTTGTCCATGGTTTAACTGTGTAGAAGACTGTATACAGCTGGCCATGGTTTAACTGTGTAGCTGTCCATGGTTTAGCTGTATAGAAGACTGTATACAGCTGTCCATGGTTTAGCTGTGTAGAAGACTGTATACAGCTGTCTATGGTTTAACTGTGTAGAAGACTGTATACAGCTGGCCATGGTTTAACTGTGTAGCTGTCCATGGTTTAACTGTGTAGCTGTCCATGGTCTAACTGTAGCTGTCCATGGTTTAACTGTGTAGAAGACTATACAGCTGTCCATGGTTTAACTGTGTAGCTGTCCATGGTTTTACTGTGTAGAAGACTGTATACAGCTGTCCATGGTTTAACTGTGTAGAAGACTGTATACAGCTGTCCATGGTTTAAATGTGTAGCTGTCAATGGTTTAACTGTATACAGCTGTCCCTGGATTAACTGTGCAGCTGTCCATCGTTTAACTGCGTAGCTGTCCATGGTTTAACTTTGTGGCTGTCCATGGTTTAACTGTGTAGCTGTCCATGGTTTAACTGTATACAGCTGTCCATGGTTTAACTGTGTAGCTGTCAATGGTTTAACTGTATACAGCTGTCCATGGTTTAACTGTGCAGCTGTCCATCGTTTAACTGTGTAGCTGTCCATGGTTTAACTGTGTAGAAGACTGTATACAGCTGTCCATGGTTTAACTGTGTAGCTTGCGACGTATTACCAGGTAGCTTGCAAAATTACAGGAAAAAAGTTGGGTGTTCACTAAATATTTCTCAGCTGATAAGACCTGCAAGCTTAGGACATGCTAGTTTGTTTTACTAACTTGTGCTGATGACCACTATTTCTGTTTGTATGGATTTGATCAGCAATAAAGTTGGAATATGTGAATGTGTTGTTTGATGCTCAGTTTTTCTGTTTAGCTAATTTCCAACTCAAACAAATTTGTATGCATTTGCAAAATAATCTCAATTAGAATACAGTATAAACAAGTAAAAGAAGAGAGTTTGAAATGATTTATGGATGATTTTATAAAATACATAAACTGCTCTCTGATAGATTATTTTTGTAAAATTCATGGTTGGTATTTGACGTTCCGTATTCTGTCTGTTAATTAAATGGTTGATATTCTGACCTGTATTATAGATAAATCCCTGTAGCATGAGTGTATCCGTTTAGAAGTAAGTACACATGGACAAGGTCAGATCCAGGGGCCAATCCTGGTAGCTTTAGTATATCCTTTTAGAAGTAAGTACACATGGACAAGGTCAGACCCAGGGGCCAATCCTGGTAGCTTTAGTATATCAGTTTAGAAGTAAGTACACATGGACAAGGTCATATCCAGGGGCCAATCCTGGTAGCTTTAGTGTATCCGTTTAGAAGTGAGTACACATGGACGAGGTCAGATCCAGGGGCCAATCCCGGTAGCTTTAGTGTATCCGTTTAGAAGTAAGTACCCATGGACAAGGTCAGATCCAGGGGCCAATCCTGGTAGCTTTAGTATATCCTTTTAGAAGTAGGTACACATGGACAAGGTCAGATCCAGGGGCCAATCCTGGTAGCTTTAGTGTATTTGTCTCTTGATGCCTAGCAATTGCTATGGTGAGAATGTAAATTGTGTCTAGGTTATGAGTCATGACCAAGGATAGGATCAGACATCTGGGCCAATCCCTATTAAGCATGAATGAATTTGTCTATATAATTATAGGATAGGGATCTCAACTGTTTTCATGTTGTCACTCAGGAACTGGCAGGACCCTGTGGCCAATCCTTAAAACATGGATTAATCCATAACTTCATTCCAAATACAAGTGTTAGGGGTTATAGGGTGAGGATATTAAGTATTACAGAATTACACCCAAAATTGTTCTATTGGGGTCCGACCCGTCATCGTGAGGTGTACAATTGGGGAAGCATTAGAGGTGTGACGGGCAATAGTATCTTTTTGAGGTAAAAAGTTTGTTGAATTTTGAGAAAGTTTGACTTATAAAATGATTCCTATCTTCGTTGACCAGTATTGTTTAACATGGGATGAAGGTTTTAGGCTATTTTACACATCACATTGGTGTCAACATTAAGTAGCTCTGTTAAATGTCTGCTACAGTAGAAGTACTACAGCTACCAAAGTTGGTCCATAGTTGCTTTTTAGCTTCTTCATTGCAATATCTGCATCAGATACTGAATGTGGCCTAATTTTTGGTTAAATGACCATTAAGGATCCCCGTACCTCTGTAAAAAAAATATGCTAAAAACTCAAATATCTTCATCTGAAGAACTGAAAGGCCTAGAGTCCTAACATTGGCTTAAATACTCTGGGTTTTAGCCCGACACGGTTTGCAAAATAAAATGATCTTGACCTTCTCCTTAGATCATTACATGGAAACATCTTATAGCTCATTGATCCCTATAACCATATACAATGTATATATAATGCTAGACTTGAAGAGACATTCATATATGCTACCTGGATTGGGTCAGGGATCCAGTTCAACCCCTTGGGGCTTACATTTTAGGTCATAAAGAGCCAGTGCAGATCACCATCATTTAACCAAATATACCGTTAGTAGCCATAAAGAGATGACTTTTTTCATGCTACTTAGATAAAACCAGAGATCCGGCATCACGCTTTGGTATTGGAAAGAGCTGAGATTCCTACCATATAACCATATATTAAATTGTTGGGCATGGAGAATTTCGTTTTCCTGCAATTCCTAGTATAACATGGAAAATGTGTATGTTCAGGTACAGTTGGGCAGGTTGCACATGCTGTGCATGTCATGTGCTAGGGTGTTGTAGACATGTGTACATGTATAGGATGGTCATTCTAGCCTTGAAACTCCCACTCACAGTATGCGGTCAAGTGTAGCTTCTAGTGAGTAGGCTCATCCAACATGATTGTTGTGTTATTAGGACAGAGAACTATAGGTTGATGGGTTAGAACAGACACTAATAAAATCTATTACCTGTAACTGAGCGAGATCGGGCTATCTCAGTCGTGGGTTAAGATTCTGTTACAGAATCTTATCCCGAGACTGAGATAACCTGATCTTGCTCAGTTACAGGTAATAGATTTATTTATTTTTCTCGCACCTTTTATTTCGAAAAAGACCTATTCAATTTTGCTAAAAACTACAAGTATCCCCCTTGGGCCTCAAATGATGATGACCTCTTCACTCCTTAAGCTACATTTGAATGCTTCCGCGTAAAAACATAGTCCGTCCTTACATAGCTTACAACGCATTTCACAGTGTGGATTGTATTTTATCTACAACATCAAATATCTAACAACATCAAAACTACACAATAACGACAAAACAGAACATTTAAAATGCAAATTGTCAATTTCAAGCAGTTAACGCACGGATGAATACATCGTAGTGTAAAAATTCTGCAAAATGTCACGTAAAGGTTTAAGACAGATCGGACTAGATAGAAAAATCTAGCATGGGGTATGGTGTGGGATATCTCTGTCTGAGGTGCGAGAAAAATATGTTAATGACCTCAGTGTCATCACCGCCCCTAGGCATTAAGTGCAAGTCCTTGCTGCAGCTGATATTTTTGCACTACATGTATTTGATGTGTACAGTAGTCAACAATTTAAAAAAAATAAAATAGAAATCCCAGGCTTACATTGGCCTCTTGTTTAATGAAGTGTTCATT